GCTCCAAATAATAACAGCAACAACAATACTCATTAGCCACGATGAATACGCTGCTGGATGAAGGCGTTTCCCAATCCGTCAGCATCTCTCACGTTTCTGCAATTCCATCGCTCCGTCTCCGCGGAGGGATGTTGCCCGAGCGGACGCGTTCCTTTCCTTGCCAGGCGATCCGCCGTTGTGTGTTGGTTGTCTTCACCATCCCCCGTCAATTCTTTAAGCGACGCATTCCTGCCCAAGGCCATTTTTCATTTCTCATGGGAAAAAATATATATAAATATATAATAATATTGACATGAAATAATTTATTCGCGCCAATGAACTCTTGCATCCGCGGTATTATTATTTTATTTATAGCTACGAAATGTACAAATGGAATACATATCAGGGGCATTAGAATATCGGGAGGTGTTCGGTCTGCGGGCAAGAATTGAAAGAGTGCTACTGAAAGCATATAAATGATGCTGTGTGTGTGGCTTACGATTCAATACAAGACGATATTCATTATCTGCCCCAGTGAACTGTAAAGGGAAACGCACTTTGTCCAATGTTTGTATTTTTTATTATTGCATATCATTCATTTCAATGAATATACAAGCATTTATTTGGGGCGGCGGGGGGAAGTTGCTGCTACTGCTGCTGCTGTAGAATGGTCGGCACGTTGCGCTGGCGATGCCGAGGTCTCCAGTTCGATCTCCCGGCGCGGCAAGTTTTTTTTAATTTTAATCCCCCTCCACCCCCCCCCCCCACCACTGCCCCACCACCACCTATCTCCACTGAGCACTACAAATGGGTACTCCGCAGTTAGTTGATCGTGTGGTGGTGGTGGGGGGTATAAGTGAGCAACTGGTGCGGTGGGTAAACATCACCGAGACGGGGTGGAGGGGGGCGGCGAAGGAGGGCGGGCGTGGTGCTGTCCACCTCGTAAGCCGTGGCCGGCGCTCGTAGGTGCTGCTGCTCGCTAACAGCACTTGCCCCGGCAGGCTAAACGGGGCATTCTTTGTTTTTATGCGGGTGATGGAGTGGCCGAGTGAGTGGATTGGTGAGTGAGTGCGTCGCCTGTGAGCGGCCTGCAGGTGTGGCGGGTGAACGCAGCTGCGACGAGGCCGTTAGCCCCGGTGAGACGCAGTCCTCGACGTGGCCCAAGTAGCGATAGAAGAGCGATAAGGAGGCGACTGTCCGCCGACGAGCGAGCGAGTGATCCGGAGCGAAACGCCGCGTGTAAAGCCCACGTCGCGCTGCTGCTGTGCCCATTGTTTGATCAACGCGCGCCGTCTGGCCAGCTGAGCAGACGAAGCAATCCAAGGACAAACAACACGGTTGCACGCAAGTGGACAAGGAACGCGAGGCTGCATTGAGCGCCCAGACCTCATGGCACCATGCGTAGTCACCACCACCCCCACCACCATCACAATCAGCGGGATCATCATCATCATCCGCAGCAGCAGATGCGAGGAGTCCGTCTGCGCGCCGTGATAACCGCACGCGTGCACATACGCGTGCGCGCTTCCTGTATGTCTGCATGTATGTATGTATGCCTGTCTGTGTTGAATTTCTTTCGCGCCGTACGCAGACAACCGTGCTGATCGGAGGTGCGGGGCGCGTCACGGAGAGAGCCGCGCCCGCACGGGCTCGGGGTCGCGTCGAGTGGCTCCGCTAGAGCGGCGGTGGAGCCGCAGGTAGCGATATGGGGGGGGGGGGGGGGGGGGGGGGCACGCGGTCGCCTTAACGTGGCCCACTGCGCCCGCTTCCTCCAACTCCTCCTGCTCGTTCATCCCCATTCAGCCTCTTCCTCAACCCCACTCGAACTCCGCGTCTCCAGCCTGCCCATCCCCGCTGAGCCTCCTCTCCCTCCCGACTTCGCTTCTTCCTCCTCCTCAACTGCACCGTCTCTCGCTCGCCGTGTCTATGCCGGACCCTGCCCGTGTAAGGTCACCGTCCAGTGCCCCCGGGACACGACCCCCTACGCGATCCCCGCTAGCCCCCCTCTACCGGCGCCTGCATCAGCCGCTACCGCAACCAGCAGCGCTCCGTCATCCTTTCGTTGTCATCACCCCAGGAATGGACGCGCGCGGCTGTCTCCCACCTTTAACCAGACACCCGCTGATATTTATGCCAAGCGAAATGACAGCGCTCGGTTCGAGTTATTTAAAAAAAATGTTTTAACGGATAGCGATCACGAACACACTTCCATTTACATCACAAGTCCATTCCGCCAGTCACTCGGTGTTCACTTACAAAAAAATAATAATCTAAATTATGCCTTTCTGAAATTCACTGGAACCGATGGCCAGACGCATTTCATATTTATTCTGCGGGTATGCGTGCCACTTAAAAAAATGAAGAAAGATTTATTTTTTACATCCTCACGCTCCAACGTCTCCCCTTCGCCAACCCCGCTGCCCTGAACCAGCGTGGTGAAGTATGGTCCAATAACCCCCCCCCCCCCCCACCATCTTCACCACACGACGTCGTTGAGGCCCATAATCCAGCAGTGCATTGGAACCTCCGGATGGCTACGTACAGTGCGAAAAAGTTCTACTTACAAAATGGGCTTTTGCATGTGCATGCATATTTTAATCGTATGTAACTCGCTGACACGCCCCTACTGGACATCCGTGGAAAAAGAAGAGCTTCATAGCTCATCGGATTTCTCTCCCCCCCCAGGATAAATACAGACCCTGATTCTGGTTTTCTGTCTGATACACAGAGATTGGGATTTCATTTCCATGCGCCGCACGCAGACAGCGAGTGAAGGGGTGGAGTGGGTTTCGTCTGCTTATGCCTCTGCCTTGCCGAGGTCAGTTGGCATGGCCGGACGCGCGCGATGGAATGAAATTCAACTACAAGCTATTTTATTTTACCACGTAAGGTCCCACTGGGCTACTATTGAGCTATTTTTCAGAAGCGACCTGGCCATCGCAAATGATAGCTCGACAAAGTGGCTTCTCGACATCGTCGCGTGGACATCAGCAGCAGCATCAGCAGCAGCCAGAGACTCTGAATGCGGTGTTGTTGGTTCTGAATGTGGAAGGGGGAAAACCCGGAGGACCCGGAGAAAAATCAACACGACCACGGGGAGAGAGAGAGAGAGAAACACGCAAACTCCAAATATACAGCAGGCATCAAGGTTAGGATTGGACCCACGACCGCCTGCATACCAGGCGAGGTAGTTAACATCTCACCACGGGGAGAGACACGCAAACTCCAAATATACAGCAGGCGTCAGGGCTAGGATTGGACCCACGACCGCCTGCGTACCAGGCGAGGTAGTTAACATCTCCTCCGAGCCACCGTGGCGTCCTAACGGGCGAGGAAAGAGGCCGATTCATCAAAGTGTCAACCCGACCGGATGAAAAAGAGTTTGTTGGCAGGAAGAGGGCTGGGAGGAAACGCTCGTCAATTGAATTGGCCAAACATCCCAACAGAGGACTTTCCTGCGCATGAGACTTCCCTAGATGAATAATTCACATTACTTGTATTGTTACTATTGTTGTCGTCTAAACAATCGAGAAATAATGTGCACGAGGGCATTGTCAATCATCGCCAACATCGTCGGCCGTGGTCGATCCGCTGCTGGATGAAGGCCTCCCGCAATCTCTTCACGAACCTGCGATGTACGAGCTGATTTCATCACGCTCTCCATCTCCGACCCCTAGGTCTGCGCAGACTGAAATGAGCACTGGGCGAGGCGCAGTGCGTTGACCGTGTGTGGCACTCCAGTACTCACACCGCAACCATGTCGCGCAGTAACAGGTGCTCGCTAACAGAGGCTGTATCAACAGCCGGTAGGAGGTTCTGCAAGGATATTGATGCATGCATGTTTATTACATTTGTAAAAAAAAACAAGATACAAACCAGGCCGCTAATTTTGTCGGAGTTGACTGAAAGTCTCATCAAAGCACGCGAAGCAAACACATTGCGTGTCTATAACACGTCATGTGTTTATTTTTTTTGTACTTTGAATTAACAGCAAACCGAACATTTCATTATTTAATTAGATATACTTTAATGACACTCGTTATTTTATCTTTGACCAAATCACCCCCTCCCCCCCCCTGCCCCACCCCCGTCTCCACGTTCGATCGTTCGCGTTGGAGCTCGCAAGCTAAGCGGGACTCGCGCCTGGACAGCGCCCGCGGTCTCGCCGGAGATCGCAGGCGCAGGCGACAGGGCGGGCAGCAGCGGGGAGCGCGGAAAGATCCGTCTATAACGCGCCGGATGCTCTCGCGACCGACGTCATCCATGATACAGTCCGCCTGATGAAGCTGGTTGTAATTACTGGCGAAACGTCGTACTCGGATGGTAAATGTTGTGGATTTGCTCTCCAACGCACCGGTGTGCTGTACTAGTATACTACACTATACACTACGCTATACACTACACACTAGTGCTGTACTAGTGACGAATTGGCCACGTTTTGTTTGCGTGACAACCCTTACTAGTTGGCTGCGTCGGGTGGCGGCGGGTTTAACGACACAACATTTATATGTTTACGCGATCTAACGTGCACACACGTGCGCACACATGCACACACGTACACACACGTACACACACGTGCACACACGTACACATGTGCACACACGTGCACACACGTACACACACGTGCACACACGTACACACACGTACACACGTGCACGCATGTACACACACGTGCACGCACGTGCACACACGTACACGCACGTGCACGCACGTACACGCACGTGCACGCACGTACACACACGTGCACACACGTACATTGCGCGTCCCTTAAATTATTAACGGGGTAGCCCGTGCCCTAATTACTGCGCTCAAACCCGCCGGCTTTTTAATATTTCTCTCGCTGCATTTTTGTTTAATTCGAGCCTCTTGCGCGTCGTCGAATCAAGAAAAACACAGAAACAAAAAATAACGAGCCGAGTGAGAGACAGCAGAGGTACCTCGGATTAGCACTGTTGGCTACGTACGGCACGAAAGAAGTTCCACACACATACAATATACATACGTGCAGGATACAACAAGGCGATTGTGTTGTTGTTTATTGAATTTCTGGGTCAGGCTGCGCCAGTTCTGGGCAAGCACACAACCGCAGCGCTCTGACACGAACAAAACAATTACGCATGCAGCGTTTAAGAACGCACAATTACAACAATTACATATAAACAAATATACAATTAAGGAAGAGTAAGACATTAAGATGATTAAAAAAAATCGTATGATTCTCATACAGTCTTGGACGCTGTTCCGATATCGAACGCGGCTGCTGTTGAAGCCACCGTTGGAGCCAACAGATCGTGACTGCTTTGTCGATTTATCTTTAGAATTCTCTTTAGATTTACAGTATTTACTTCAGCAGGAAGGTCCCACATGAGCTGCCAGGCTCTCTTCCATGACGCGATGCGACGGTGCAGATGTTGTACGGAATATAATCATCGCGACTACAATCACGAGCTGCAATCTTCGTTCTGATCCACATGGCACCAAGGGCGTTGCCGGAGCTGGGCTGCTGGGCGTGGAGAGCAAAGAAAACACGTGAAGGAGAAAAAGCAAAGAGAGAGAGAGAGAGTGAAACGAGAGACTTTTGACTTTTAAACAACTTTCATCGCCGCCAGCAGCAAAAGCACTGGAGGCGATTTCGATATGAAACACACAAAGTCACCAGCAACACAAATGAAAATAAACGTTACAAATCCACGCGCTGTGATGCTAAATGCGCCGCGCACAACGGAGAGGCCTGCAAGAAGGAGTTCACCCTTCTGCAGGCCTCTCCGTCAACAATTGCAGTCGTGGAGGGCCAAGCTCATCACAGCAGGCCGCGTAAAACTCAACTGGCAGGCCGCCAATCCCCGGGGCTTTACCAGCTGCGAGCCATTTCACAGCAGTGTGGAGCTCCTGCTGCAGGGTGACGGGGCTGTCCAGACGATCCCGCTCTGGGACTCCTAAGGTAGGGCCCCCCATCCAGTAGCTCCTGGATAGCCTCGTCTTGTGGAGTTTCGGCGGTGCAAAGTTGCGAGTAGAAATCCCTGGCGGTCTTGGCGATCTCGGCCTCAGATGGGGCTGTTTGTCCATCTGGGGTTCGCAAATAGAAATGTTGTTGGTGTTTGCCGGTGTTTTATCTAAGCTAAAGAAAAACTTAGAGGGAGAGTCCATCTGCGACAGAGAGAGTTAAACGAGAGAGATAATCTTGATTTGAAGCTTTCGTGACTGCAGGAATCCATACTCTTTGGTTCTTTCGGTAAAGTCACGTAGGTAGAAATAAAATAAGCACTTACATTGTGGAAACGAAACGCCATGTCTCAGACCGTGTCCGCGAACACAAGGCAGATCTGAAACACAGCAGAACCAATACCTCTGCCGTGGCTGACCATTGCTATAACGCTGTGGGCACGCGTGATGTTGTTTTTTTCCGAGACCAAGGTACTCTGCAAACCTTCGGGCTACTATCAAAGGTTTGTTCATGAAGCCATCCAGATATATAAACATAGACAAAACTTCAACCGAGAAGATGGATACAAATTGAGCAATCATTTGAAGGATGTTATTAACTAGGTAAACCCCTAACTACTTTATGGTTGTGGCTATCATATCTGCCGGGTACGAGTCTATTTCTCCGAGTTAATTTCCTCCCGCATCCCCAGCTTTCTCGGCCTCCCACTTCCAGCCCCGCCCACTACCCCCCCTCCTCCAGCCTCACGTCCTCTCTCCTCCGAGGGCTCACGCAGCGCCCCCCCTCTCTCTCCCCCTTGCCCCTCCCCCCTTTCTCACCTATATAACCACTTGCCACGGCAGCTCTCTCTCCCATTTCAGCAATTTTTTCTTGCTGTGGTTTTCCCACCTGATGATGATTGCTTGTGTTGACTTTATCTTCTTTGGTTCTTTCGGTAAAGTCACGTAGAATGAGAATAAAATAATAAATAGATAAAATAAAATAACACAATAATATTCTCACGACGTTTCGGCCACAACACAAGCGGCCTTCATCAGGTGAAGGGACGAGACTGTCTGGTAGGACAGCGCTGGAGTGTGACTTTACCGAAAGAACCATAGAGTACGGATGAGAGAGATAGTTAAACGAGAGATAGTTAAAGGCGAGAGAGAGATAAACAAAAACCACTCGCTACGCGCAGCCACGACGATCAACAATAGCTGGAGAACGCCAACACTTCCAGGAGGCACACAGACGAGCGGACACTGGGCACCTGTGAAACAAAGAGCTTTATAGCTCATCGGATTCCTCCAGCACAAATCCATTGAATGTGATTCTGATGAGCAGGACAAAGACGTGGGATTAAGACGCAACAACAACACGAGTTGGTGTTGTTTTTGCTGCGTGTTGTAACCCTTTCTCCTGAAGGGGGGAGGGGGGTAGTGGTGGGGGGGGGGGGACCAAGCAGTAGAGAGAGAATGTCAGGACAAGCCGCGGCGTTGCGGAACTCGCGCGGCGATTGTGATGAATGTAACGCGGGGCCACGAACATTCATCACCAGGCGGCCGGCGACACAGATAGCCGCGGACGCAGCAGCGAAGCGTCAGGGGGAGCGTCAGGGGAAGCGTCAGGGGAAGCGTCAGGCACACAGCAGGGAAGCGTCAGGGAAGCGTCAGGGGAAGCGCCAGGGACGCAGCAGGGAAGCGCCAGGGAAGCGTCAGGGACAGAGCAGCGAAGCGTCAGGGAAGCGTCAGGGAAGCGTCAGGGGAAGCGTCAGGGAAGCGTCAGGGACGCAGCAGGGAAGCGTCAGGGACGCAGCATGGAAGCGTCAGGGACGCAGCAGCGAAGCGTCAGGGAAGCGTCAGGGAAGCGTCAGGGACGCAGCAGGGAAGCGTCAGGGACGCAGCAGGGAAGCGTCAGGGACGCAGCAGCGAAGCGTCAGGGAAGCGTCAGGGAAGCGTCAGGGACGCAGCAGGGAAGCGTCAGGGACGCAGCAGGGAAGCGTCAGGGACGCAGCAGGGAAGCGCCAGGATAGCTCCAGCAGCGCTGTGGTTTTCTTGTCCCCCCGTTGGCCCTGACCAGGGCTGTGGTCCAGAAGTGGCCGCTCCCTTCGGCTCGTCACCTCCACGGTGCAGGGCGCAAAGGGACCGAGACCGAGTGTGGGGAGAAGACGATCTCGCGGCAGAGCTCCACGCGGAGGTAACCGTGGCGACTTTACCACGAGGCAGCGATCCAAGTCTGGGGAAAGACTTCAGACTTCGCGGACGGAGAGAGCTACCTCAATGTTTAAACAGAGGGGCATGTTATGGGGAACACCAGGACAGGAAATGCGAGCACTGGGGTCGTGTGAGTGACGCCGAGGTTGGCCGTGCGAACGCGGCTTGTCCACCCCCCACCACCACCCTCCACCACTACCCCCCCACCATCCCCCCCCCACCATTTCCCCCACCATCCCCCCATCACCCCCCCTCACCATCCCCCCTACCATCCCCCCACCCTCCCCCCACCACCCCCCCTCACCATCCACCCCACCATCCCCCCCACCATCCCCCACCACCCCCCTCACCATCCCCCCCACCATCCCCTCCACCATCCCCCATACCCCCCCCCCCACCATCCCCCCCACCATCCCCCCACCATCCCCCCCACCATCCCCCCCCACCATCCCCCCCACCCCCCCCCCACCACCCCCCGGCTCGTTTGTCCGTAACCCTTTGCAGGGCATTGGCAGGGAGCCGAGGCTGAGTCGGTGTCACGCGAGACCGTGCACATTGGAAACGAGGAGGAACCAAGTGGCGCTTTGGATCAACTGAAGCTCGCGTGGCAATAACCCAGCAAAGCACGGAAGCGGAAATCGTGGCAAGGTGGTGGTGGTGGTCAAGTAAAAAACAAACCGAGCAAAAACCCCACCGCCAGATTGACGCATAATTAGTAAATAACCAAATTAGTAAATAACCAAATTCGTCCGACACGAGTTGGGGCGTAATGAACGTCCTCGCGGCGAGCCGATAAATATCCGCGAATAACGATTCGGCTTCATCGCAGAGGAGAGAGAGAGGAGAGGGGAAAAAACAGCCTTTGATGTCAGGGAATTCATTGTGACATTCACAGCAATGTCAAAGGCAGGAGGGCATTATTGTGCTTCAATTGGAGAAGGGTTTTTTCCCCCGCTCCCTCCCTCCCTCCCCTCCCCTCCTCTCTCTCTCAGGTTGCTGCAGTAAGCAGATTTGTCTCCTAGCACAGAGGACTCGCGCTGCGATTGATTACAGCCCCTCCACATAACTTTAACCCTTACTTGGTGAGACCGCACGCGCGCGCGCAAAATCGAACGCTTATCCGTTTCCTGGAAGCCGCTCTGGCTATGAATCAAGTAAAGTCGGTCTGGTCGCTCGGCGTGAACCTTACATCAACCGCCGGCTCTCCCTCGCTCACTCACTCGTTCGCTCAGTCACACACACACACACGTGTGTACACGTGCACACACACACGTGTACACACACACACGTGTGTCGTGTACACGTGTGTGCGCGTGTGTGTGTACGGTAGAGTGTGGGGAGCGATAGTGTAGCGGTTAGCGCGCTGCGCTATGAACCTGGCGACCCGGGTTCGATTCCTGCTCACGGCCAACACCAGTGACGATTATCTGAACTGGTCCCGGGCCTCCCCTAGGTCGACTCAGCCTCAAATGAGTACCTGGTGCGGTGTGCAAACATTGCCACTAGGGAGACAAAGGCGGTCGGGCGTAGTGCTGGCCACCCACCCTCTCGTGTACCGTTCCAGCCTTCATAGGTGCTCGCTAACAGCACTTGCCCCTACAGTCTGTTGAGGCTATACGGGGGATCTTTGTCTTTGTTTTTGTACGGTAGAGCGGCGGTTGCGCTGGGGGTTACCGCGCTGCGCCACGAACCCGGCTAGCACAGTTCGATTCCAGCTCACGGCCAACAGCGGTGACGATTATCTGAACCGGTCCCAGACCTCCCAAAAGTCGACTCAGCCTCAAATGAGTACCTGGTGCGGTGTGTGAACGTCGCCACTGGGGGAGACAAAGGCGGCCGGGCGTGGTGCTGGACACCCCCCCCCCCCCCCCACCGTGTGCCGTGCTAATCGCTAACAGCACTTTGCCCCAAGCGGTTGTAAATGTTTTATTGTGCGTGTGAATTTGGAAGAATTTGGAAGGTCATTTTTGGTGGAGACAATGCCTACCTTGTTCCGCCAACAGCCTGTTCACCTTCTTGTCCTAAAGCATCGGTTACATCGTCGTTCAAATTTAGTCCAAGATTCGTATCGATATAAAAATGCGCTCAAATTTATTCGGTGCACTGAAGGTGTCCCGCTGCAACTCCACAGAGGTCGCGCGTTGCACAAAGAGTTCCCCCGTTGTCTGGAGGTGTCCCGGCGGGTTGTGAGCAGGTGTCTGAGACGCATGCTGGGAATGTCGTGGCAGCAAGCCAGGAGAAGCCACGCAGACGTCAGGAAGAGAAGAGTGCCACGTGTACGGGACGGGGGGAGGGATATGGTTCAGCTACTTGGAGGGTGTTGAGAGAACATTGGGTAGGTGGTGTAGATACGGGTGGGACCCGTGTGAGTAGGTGGTGTAGATACGGGTGGGATCCGTGTGAGTAGGTGGTGTAGATACGGGTGGGACACGTATGGGTAGGTGGTGTAGATACGGGTGGGACACGTGTGGGTTTGTGGTGTAGATACGGGTGGGACACGTGTGGGTAGGTGGTGTAGACACGGGTGGGACCCGTGTGGGTAGGTGGTGGGTGGTGTAGATACGGGCGGGACACGTGTGGGTAGGTGGTGGAGATACGGGTGGGACACGTGTGGGTAGGTGGTGGGTGGTGTAGATACGGGTGGGACACGTGTGGGTTTGTGGTGTAGATACGGGTGGGGCACGTGTGGGTTTGTGGTGTAGATACGGGTGGGACCCGTGTGGGTAGGTGGTGGGTGGTGTAGATACGGGTGGGACACGTGTGGGTAGGTGGTGGAGATACGGGTGGGACACGTGTGGGTCGGTGGTGTAGATACGGGTGGGACACGTGTGCACGGTAGAAGAGGGCCATTGAGCGAGAGGCGTTGGAGCAGTCCTCACGAGTCACAAATGCGGGGTCCCTTGAGCTACCTGGGGCCCTAAACTTTTGCTTCTTCCGCTTTCCCCTTGCGCCACCACTGCTTCTGACCTGCATCTCACATCCACCTCCCTTGCACGCATGGCATTTCTCCCGGCGCTCGGCATTCCTCCCACATGCATGCAAGTGCGTTACTTGATCGAAAGCATCTGAATACACAGAAGACCACAGAGCTGCGGCAATTGTTGGTGTCGTCGGCTCACCGCGTGGCTTGCCGCCTTCCCCCCTCGTCCGTGGTGGCTCCTCGCTCTGCCGAGTCGTTTTCTGTCTTGGAAAGCAGAGCGAATGCTGCGCTTGCACGCTTGTGGTTAATCAATTTAACAACAGCGCTGGCTCCCGTTCTGGTATCGAAGAGCGGGTGTAACGCGAGCGACAGAGTGCGAAGGTTTTGATTTTTTCTCTACTGGTAGATTAAACGAAGAGCGCACTGCACCAAGTGCTACATCAGTCACGCTGCATTACGCGATGTAAATGTATTTACTGTATTGTGAGTATTGTTACGCACTGGGTTGTTTTCCCGAGACAGTGAAATAATAATCAATGCAGCCTCAAGCCACTGATGTATCAAAGCCTCCAGTCCACTGATGTATCAAAGCCTCAGTCCACTGATAGAACAAAGCCTCAGTCCACTGATAGAACAAAGCCTCAGTCCACTGATAGAACAAAGCCTCAGTCCACTGATAGACCAAAGCCTTAGTCCACTGATAGAACAAAGCCTCAGACCACGAATGGAACAAAGCTCCAGTCCACTGATAGAACAAAGCCTCAGACCACTGATAGAACAAAGCCTCAGTCCACGAATAGAACAAAGCCTCAATACACTGATAGAACAAAGCCTCAGTCCACGAATAGAACAAAGCCTCAATCCACTGATAGAACAAAGCCTTAGTCCACTGATAGAACAAAGCCTTAGTCCACTGATAGAACAAAGCCTCAGTCCACTGATAGAACAAAGCCTCAGTCCACGAATATAACAAAGTTCTAGTCCACTGATAGAACAAAGCCTCAGACCACTGATAGAACAAAGCCCCTGTCCACTGATAGAACAAAGCCACAGTCCACGAATAGAACAAAGCCCCTGTCCACTGATAGAACAAAGCCTTAGTCCACTGATAGAACAAAGGCACAGTCCACAAATAGAACAAAGCCTGAGTCCACGAATAGAACAAAGCCTCAGTCCACTGATAGAACAAAGCCTCAGTCCACGAATAGAACAAAGCCTCAGTCCACTGATAGAACAAAGCCCTAGTCCACGAATAGAACAAAGCCTGAGTCCACTAATAGAACAAAGCCTCAGTCCACTGATAGAACAAAGCCCTAGTCCACTGATGTATCAAAGCCTCAGTCCACTGATAGAACAAAGCCTCAGTCCACTGATAGAACAAAGCCTCAGTCCACTGATAGAACAAAGCCCTAGTCCACTGATGTATCAAAGCCTCAGTCCACTGATAGAACAAAGCCTTAGTCCACTGATAGAACAAAGCCTCAGACCACGAATGGAACAAAGCTCCAGTCCACTGATAGAACAAAGCCTCAGACCACTGATAGAACAAAGCCTCAGTCCACGAATAGAACAAAGCCTCAATACACTGATAGAACAAAGCCTCAGTCCACGAATAGAACAAAGCCTCAATCCACTGATAGAACAAAGCCTTAGTCCACTGATAGAACAAAGCCTTAGTCCACTGATAGAACAAAGCCTCAGTCCACTGATAGAACAAAGCCTCAGTCCACGAATATAACAAAGTTCTAGTCCACTGATAGAACAAAGCCTCAGACCACTGATAGAACAAAGCCCCTGTCCACTGATAGAACAAAGCCACAGTCCACGAATAGAACAAAGCCCCTGTCCACTGATAGAACAAAGCCTTAGTCCACTGATAGAACAAAGGCACAGTCCACAAATAGAACAAAGCCTGAGTCCACGAATAGAACAAAGCCTCAGTCCACTGATAGAACAAAGCCTCAGTCCACGAATAGAACAAAGCCTCAGTCCACTGATAGAACAAAGCCCTAGTCCACGAATAGAACAAAGCCTGAGTCCACTAATAGAACAAAGCCTCAGTCCACTGATAGAACAAAGCCCTAGTCCACTGATAGAACAAAGCCTCAGTCCACTGATAGAACAAAGCCACAGTCCACTGATAGAACAAAGCCTCAGTCCACTGATAGAACAAAGCCCTAGTCCACTGATAGAACAAAGCCTCAGTCCACTGATAGAACAAAGCCTCAGTCCACGAATAGAACGAAGCCTCAGTCCACTGATAGAACAACGCCTCAGTCCACGAATAGAACAAAGCCTCAGTCCACTGATAGAACAAAGCCTCAGTCCACGCAGTGTCTGTCATGGCGGTTATCTGAACCACCTTTGCATGGCAAAGGTGGCCAGCGTGCGTTGGTGAAGGCGATGATCAGCATCACGAGGGGTGTATTCGGAGTTGTAGAAGCTCAGGGCGGTAGTAGTTGTTGTAGTAGATGAGTTTCCAAGCAAGGGCACACAGTACAGACACAGATCCCCCGTATAGCCTGAACAGACTGTGGGGGCAAGTACATACAATATACACACAGTACATACAATATACACACAGTACATACAATATACACACAGTACATAAAATATACACACAGTACATATTATACACACAGTACATACACACACAGTACATAAAATATACACACAGTACATATTATACATACACAGTACATACAATATACACACAGTACATATAATACACACACAGTACATACAATACACACAGTACATATTATACATACACAGTACATACAATATACACACAGTACATACAATACACACACAGTACATATAATACACACACAGTACATATTATACACACACAGTACAAACAATACACACAGTACAAATAATACACAAACAGTACATACAATACATACACAGTACATACAATATACACACACAGTACATGTAATACACACACACAGTACATACAACATACACACAGTACATACAATATACACACAGTACATATACACAGTACATACAATATACACACAGTACATACAATATACACACAGTACATACAAGACACACGCACACAGTACATACAATATACAAATAGTACACACAGTGTTGTCCCACGTCCGATCGCATGGCCGCATTGTAGAGGGAATTCGACCCCGCACCTCCGACTAGCACGGTTCGCTACGTACGGTGCGAAGAAAGTTCAACATCCATACGGACGCACGCAGAATATTGCGAACGTTTTTTGGAGTAGAAATGGGTTAGCCGCATGCGCAGCGCGACATCGCACGCACGCTCAGTTGGACTTCTTTCGCACCGCGCGTAGCGAACCGTGCCAAACAAAACCCGCACCGAGCGAGGGAAACCTGCCCGGCCCCCAAGGCCCCCACGGCCCCCACGGCCCCCAAGGACCCCACGGCCCCCACGGCCCCCAAGGCCCCCACGGCCCCCACGGCCCCCACGGCCCCCAAGGCCCCCACGGCCCCCAAGGCCCCCACGGCCCCCACGGCCCCCACGGCCCCCAAGGCCCCCACGGCCCCCACGGCCCCCACGGCCCCCAAGGCCCCCCACGGCCCCCACGGCCCCCACGGCCCCCAAGGCCCCCACGGCCCCCACGGCCCCCAAGGCCCCCACGGCCCCCACGGCCCCCTCGGCCCCCACGGCCCCCAAGGCCCCCACGGCCTCCACGGCCTCCACGGCTCCCACGGCCCCCCACGGCCCCCACGACTGTGGTGGTGGTGGTGAACACGAGACTTGGTGGTGAACACGAGACTGTGGTGGTGGTGAACACGAGACTGTGGTGGTGGTGGTGACACGAGACTTGTTGGTGGTGAACACGAGACTCGGTGGTGAACACGAGACTTGGTGGTGAACACGAGACTTGGTGGTGGTGGTGAACACGAGACTTGGTGGTGAACACGAGACTTGGTGGTGAACACGAGACTTGGTGGTGAACACGAGACTTGGTGGTGGTGAACACGAGACTGTGGTGGTGGTGAACACGAGACTTGGTGGTGAACACGAGACTTGGTGGTGAACACGAGACTTGGTGGTGGTGAACACGAGACTTGGTGGTGGTGGTGAACACGAGACTTGGTGGTGGTGAACACGAGACTTGGTGGTGGTGGTGAACACGAGACTTGGTGGTGAACACGAGACTTGGTGGTGGTGGTGAACACGAGACTTGGTGGTGAACACGAGACTTGGTGGTGAACACGAGACTTGGTGGTGGTGGTGAACAATAGACTTGGTGGTGAACACGAGACTTGGTGGTGAACACGAGACTTGGTGGTGGTGGTGAACACGAGACTTGGTGGTGAACACGAGACTTGGTGGTGAACACGAGACTTGGTGGTGGTGGTGAACACGAGACTGTGGTGGTGGTGAACACGAGACTTGGTGGTGAACACGAGACTTGGTGGTGAACACGAGACTTGGTGGTGGTGAACACGAGACTTGGTGGTGGTGGTGAACACGAGACTTGGTGGTGGTGAACACGAGACTTGGTGGTGGTGGTGAACACGAGACTTGGTGGTGAACACGAGACTTGGTGGTGGTGGTGAACACGAGACTTGGTGGTGAACACGAGACTTGGTGGTGAACACGAGACTTGGTGGTGGTGGTGAACACGAGACTTGGTGGTGAACACGAGACTTGGTGGTGAACACGAGACTTGGTGGTGGTGGTGAACACGAGACTTGGTGGTGAACACGAGACTTGGTGGTGAACACGAGACTTGGTGGTGAACACGAGACTTGGTGGTGGTGGTGAACACGAGACTTGGTGGTGGTGAACACGAGACTTGGTGGTGAACACGAGACTTGGTGGTGAACACGAGACTTGGTGGTGAACACGAGACTTGGTGGTGGTGGTGAACACGAGACTTGGTGGTGAACACGAGACTTGGTGGTGAACACGAGACTTGGTGGTGAACACGAGACTTGGTGGTGGTGGTGAACACGAGACTTGGTGGTGGTGAACACGAGACTTGGTGGTGAACACGAGACTTGGTGGTGAACACGAGACTTGGTGGTGAACACGAGACTTGGTGGTGAACACGAGACTTGGTGGTGGTGGTGAACACGAGACTTGGTGGTGAACACGAGACTTGGTGGTGAACACGAGACTTGGTGGTGAACACGAGACTTGGTGGTGGTGGTGAACACGAGACTTGGTGGTGAACACGAGACTTGGTGGTGAACACGAGACTTGGTGGTGAACACGAGACTTGGTGGTGGTGGTGAACACGAGACTTGGTGGTGAACACGAGACTTGGTGGTGAACACGAGACTTGGTGGTGAACACGAGACTTGGTGGTGAACACGAGACTTGGTGGTGGTGGTGAACACGAGACTTGGTGTTGAACACGAGACTTGGTGTTGAACACGAGACTTGGTGTTGAACACGAGACTTGGTGGTGAACACGAGACTTGGTGGTGAACACGAGACTTGGTGGTGAACACGAGACTTGGTGGTGGTGAACACGAGACTTGGTGGTGAACACGAGACTTGGTGGTGGTGAACACGAGACTTGGTGGTGAACACGAGACTTGGTGGTGAACACGAGACTTGGTGGTGGTGGTGAACACGAGACTTGGTGGTGGTGGTGAACACGAGACTTGGTGGTGAACACGAGACTTGGTGGTGAACACGAGACTTGGTGGTGAACACGATACTTGGTGGTGGTGAACACGAGACTTGGTGGTGAACACGAGACTTGGTGGTGAACACGAGACTTGGTGGTGAACACGAGACTTGGTGGTGAACACGAGACCTTAATGAAGAACGTCACCAAACAGCAGCTCCTTAAAGAGCCGCAGGTTCCCGAGCCGCCCCCCCTCTCACCCCCCCCCCCCCCTCTGAACCAGGCGATTGTCCAATTTAGCGTCGCCTTGACCACTACCCGCACCCCCCACGACCCCCCACGAACCCCCTCCCCCCCACCAAGCTCAGCGGCTAAAGCCTTTCCTTGTCGTTCTTGTTGAAGGCGCCCATCACTCAAGGGGTTAACGGCGCACGTGGTGCGGGAGGCGAGCGAGCGAGCGAGGGAGCGAGGGAGCGAGGGGCCGAGGGGCCGTGGAGGAGTGGGGGGTGGGGTGGGGGGGGGGGACCCGCCGCGTTCGCGTTTGGCTGATGAGCGATTCTGCGGCTCCTATAAAGCGCCGCGTGACGCTGCGCCGGGCACAGCGACAGCGTCCGCGGGCCGCTGTCGCCGGACGCGGACGAGTCAATAAATAAATGAGCGCCAAGCCCCGTGGCGATTGTCGTGCTGTCAGCAGCGGCGGCGGCGGCGACGGCTATTTTCACTCGGGCGTCAAGCAAAGAGTTAAGACGCGGCAGGCAGCCCCGGCTGCGTTGGCTTGCTCGAGACGTTGGCTGTGGCCGGGATTTGCCGCGAGAGAATGTGTTAGAGAGAGAGAGAGAGCACCCTCTATGCGCAGTGGTGGCGAGGTGTTAACTCCATCGCCCGGTATGCGGGAGGTCGTGGGTTCAGATCCCGACCCTGACGCCTGCTGCTGCTGCTGTATATTTGGAGTTTGCGTGTCTCTCTCTCCCCCGTGATCGCGTGGATTTTTTTCTCCCGGTTCTGCGGTTTTTCCCCTCCACATTGAGAATCAACATCACGCGTTTGGAGTATTTGTCTGCTATAAATGTCCACATGAGCTATCATTTGTGACCAGGTCATTTATGAATAAAATATATATAGCTGCTCAGTGGGACTTACTTGGTAAAATCTAATAAAATTGTTCAAAGGTTTTTTTTTCTTCAAATTAAACTGCTGGCAGCAGAACCTCGGATAGGATTTGTAGCAAAACCTCCCTGAGGAAGGGGATTTATTTGGTCACGAGGGGACCGAACGTCTCGTAGGGGTCGTGCGAATACCCACACCTGACCCCACCCACACCTGACCCCACCCCCACCTGACCCCACCCCCACTTGACCCCACCCACACCTGACCCCACCCACACCTGACCCCACCCACACCTGACTCCACCCACACCTGACCCCACCCACACCTGACCCCACCCACACCTGACCCCACCCCCACCTGACCCCACCCACACCTGACCCCACCCACACCTGACCCCACCCACACCTGACTCCACCCACACCTGACCCCACCCACACCTGACCCCACCCACACCTGACCTCACCCACTCCTGACCCCAACCACACCTGACCCCACCCACTCCTGACCTCACCCACTCCTGACCCCACCCACACTTGACCCCACCCACTCCTGACCCCACCCACATTTGACCCCACCCACTCCTGACCCCACCCACTCCTAACCCCACCCACTCCTAACCCCACCCACTCCTGACCCCACCCACTCCTGACCCCACCCACTCCTGACCCCACCCACACCTGACCCCACCCACTCCTGACCCCACCCACACCTGACCTCACCCACACCTGACCCCCACCCACTCCTGACTCCACCCACTCCTGACCCCACCCACTCCTGACCCCACCCACTCCTGACCCCACCCACTCCTGACCCCACCCACACCTGACCCCACCCACTCCTGACCCACCCACACC